GAAACAAAAAATTGGGCTAATAGATGACAAGGCGGCAGGAGCATTTGCTTAATTTCCGGTGGATTTCAAGCCGTTAATATATGACGGCGGGAAAGAGGATTATTTTTTAGATTTTCCACCAATTCTTTTAATTGATCCACACCTCCAAAATCACGTCATTGTTTACCATAAACCGGGCCCAATTCACCATATTTTTTAGCAAACCCATTATCGTTTTTAATTTTTTCTCTAAATTCGGCCAAATTTTCTCCCTGATAATCAGAAGAATTTTTATACTTGACAAAAGGTCATTCATTCCAAATATTCACGCCATTATCGACCAAATATTTAATGTTGGTGTCGCCCTTAATAAACCACAAAAGTTCGTGGACGATAGCCTTAAAATTGACTTTTTTAGTAGTCAGCAGGGGAAATCCTTGACGGAGGTCAAACCTCATTTGGCAGCCGAATAAGGCCTTGGTTCCGACCCCAGTTCTGTCAGATTTTTTGGCCCCATTTTTTATTATTTCGGCCAAGAGGTCTAGGTATTGCTTCTCTCCCACTTTAATTCTCTTTTTCTTCCCAAATGCCTAATCTTTTTCGTATTTCGGTCACTACATCCGCATCAATTTTTCTCTTTTTGAATCCTTGCTCTAACGTAATATTATAAGCATTAAGTTTTTGGATTTCTTTCATTATTTCTTCTCGTTCAGTTGGCAAGACTCCGGAAGTCATTTTTCTTTCCAATTGTAAGATTTCCACTTCCCTTTTTCAGTAATCTCACAGCAGCATCAGTTTATTTTCGATTCTTTCAGCTTCCTTTCAATTATCATCAAATCAACCTTTATTTTCTTTTTCTTGTCTAGATAAGTCTTTCAACTTATCCAAAAACTTCTTTTTCAACTCTTTTTTCTCAGAGATAAGTTTTCGCAACTGGGCTTCAATGTCCTCCAATATTTTTTCGGCCTTGGTCTTTTTACTACTAATTTCTGACATAGTATAAGTAAATTTTAATGATTTATCAAAATGACTAATTTTTTTTTGCTAATTTTCTCTATTTTTTGGCGAAATTCCTTCTTGTTTTTTTCATCCAGAGCGTTATCGGCTTCGTCAAAAATAAATATTTCCTTATTTTCGCTAGTTGTTAAAAGAAGGTCAAGGTCTTTCAACTGTTTCTGACCGGTTGATAAACCATTTTCCACCAAATTTTCGTGTTCGGCATAAGCAATTTTTTTTCTTCACGCTATTAGGTTTATTTCATTTAATTTATATTTATTGTTAATTAATATTTTCCCCTGGTTGGTCTGATATAATCCCATAATCAGGCTGATTATGGTACTCTTGCCGAAGCCATTTTCACCACTTAGGTGGTTAACCTGACCACGACGAAACTCTCAGTCCAATTTTTTCAACACAGGCTTATTTTTCTGATAGGAAAAACTTACTTTTTGGAAAGTTATACTTTCCACTGGTTCGGAAACAAGAACATTTTTTTGAATATCGTCTCGTTCTGGTTCAGCCAGAAAGTCATTAATCTGCTTTTGAGCGGAAAGCCCGAAAGGATAAAACCGCAATCTTTCAGCCATTTTTTTGGTATCTTCGGCTAAACTGACTAGGCTGTTAGCAGTTCTAAAAGTTGGTTCGTTGTGGATAAAGCGCAAAAAGAGAAAAGGGGCGAATTTTGGCAGAGAATAGGCTGGAATTACGAAAGAGTTAGTAAAAATCCAATCTCGCTTATTTTCAGCGGTGTGGGATTTTTCTAGCGAACGAAGGTAATTTTTCTCATATTCAGCAA